ATTGAGGGTGAATGTTTGTGAACACGGCCATTTGAATTAATTATTGCTTAGAATACAAAAGGATTAATTAATAATGCGTATCAGTCTCATTGCCAGCAATATACCCTGTCATGTATCGTATCACAATGCAATTATCCGCATGTGCAAAAAATATAACAATGTATGCAAGAACTTTGATATTTTCCAATAATTCTTGCAATGTTACATTAAGGTTGCCAATACTTTTAATGTTTCTAACATCGAATGTTATGCAGAGCAGTTATTGGAGTGCAAACGATAGCCGCTTCTTTTAATTTTGTGTATGACTCTGTAGCCGAAATAAGAAGTCATCACACAGATTTTGAAGGCGTTTTTCCTTTCGTTGTAGATACGTTGTCTAAACAATAACAATCACTGTTGGCAAGGCTATAATCTCGGCATTTGATGGCTGAACCCAGAATAGGATTGAGCCATAGGCGGCCTGGTCCTAAGTAAGCAACGACGAGTAAACTACATCGCCCCGCCCACAGGGAACGTGGCTCACGTGTACGTCTGCGGATATTCTGAGACAACTGTTTATTGTGTTCATATCTGTTTAGTGAATATTTATTATATATTATATGTATGTATTTATTTAAAGGAAACTAACAACATAACATATATAACAAACATTAAATATAATACAATATTAATGCATATGCCTATTAAAGGTATTCACAGCATTTACTTTAACATAATTATACAGTGCGAGAAAATAAAGTAACAATTAAACAATATGAAAATTATTATAGTATTTGGTTTAGCTGTTTAGGTGCTATAACGTAACAAACAAACTCACTTTCACAGTGAGGAGGGATTATTAATAATGCGTATCAGTCCCATTGCCAGCAATATACTATGTCAGGTCGCCATCCATGTGATCCCTCTGGAAACCATCGTGCTGAATTCCAGGTGTATTCATCACGATGGGCTAACTGACCTGCCTTTTCATTCTCACCTATTATGCCGCACTGACGCCTCGCCAGCGTATACCGTTAGCGCAGGCGGGTTTACTATTCCATTATCGCTCATTAATTAAAAAAAAAAAATCACTTTTACATTTATAATATGATTTGTAATATATATATTATTGTGTGATATATATAATAATGTATCGTATCACAATCCAATTATCCGCATGTGCAAAAAATATAACAATGTATGCAAGGACTTTGATATTTTCCAATAATTCTTGCAATGTTACATTAAGGCTGCCAATACTTTTAATGTTTCTAACATCGAATGTTATGCAGAGCTGTTATTGGAGTGCAAATTTAATGCCGTTTCATGTAATATTTATTTTATTAATGTATTCATTTGTAATCTGTTGCCTTGCTGTAAATATTTTTTTTTATACAACTTAGAATGGCAAACAAGCTGACGGCCCACCTGATGGAAAGTGGTAACCGTCGTCTATAGACACGAGCAGTACCATGGACATAACAGAGTATACTGTTCCGCCCATGATACCCCCCATGCGTTGCCATTCCTGAGGACTCAGGTGTTATTCCTCTGTACCCAGTAAATTCACGCCATATCCCACCCTTCAAACCGAAACACAGCCATGCAAACACAACTGCTTCACGGTTGACACACGAATGGGACAGAGGTCTCAAGCAATCGACTTTTGTACAAAGTCTCCCTCTGGTAGATATAAAAAAGTGTAGTGAAATTAAATTATAAAACGAAAATTAAAAACAATGTTATCGAATAAAGGAATACATTGCACCACACCAATATTCACAGCTACCTTCATCAATACTGAAGCGTGCAGTATCGCAGGCCGACCGCAAAATAAAAACGCCACTATACGATTTCCTGGAGCGGTGCGGACGCGACGGGATAGACAATAGATGGCGTTGCACGGCAGTAACTCGCGCTGTCGGCGCAAATCATCGTAAAAACGGCCGCCGCCGTGCCGCCAACAGTTTTATAGTGCGCCCGGCGATAAACACCGCTGCTGTATGAGTGTTTGGCTTGTTCCCCATACGACCTATCACGTTTCATTCCAAAATATTTTTTTAGCGACTTTTAAGGGGTTTTTCTTTCGATTTGCTTCTATTTTTAAACGAGTTGAGAAAAGAAGAAGGTTCCTAATTTTGATTGAATTTTTTTTATGTTTGTTACTTCATAACTCCGTGTTTTATAAATTTATTTGAAAAATTCTTTTCTTTACATGAAATGATATAGTTTAGAATTGAAATTTTAACAAATTGATTTAGTAGTTTAATTTTTTTTTAATTAAAAATAACCGGCTTTGTCGTGTTTGAAGTCGGCTTTTACACAATAATAATTTTTTTTATACCACGATGATGGGAAGTTAGCATACAGTTCGTCTGATGGTAACTGTAGCCAGTGGATACCTGCAACACTATAGGTGCTACTGTATTTGTAAGCGCGTGAAGTTCTGATATTAAATGTGAATTGAGAATAGCTTGCCAAAGGTTATTTAAAATAGATTGGTTGAAATACGTACACTAATAGTAAGAAAGGGAGTAAAGGGAAAGAAGTTACTATTATGAAACTTAGAATGTTAAGTGAGTTTATGAAGACTGGTGTATTTAAGGTTATTTGTCATTAGGGGGCTGGTCCTTTAAAAAAGGTGCACATCTGCTCACCTACTGGGATGGGAACCAGACGACTTTGGGGCATCCGTGACCTACGCCATCTTTCCCTTAAATACGCTGATAGAATTTGGCAACCGTCGCTTATAGATATCACCAGATACCTCACGTTGCCATTTCTGAATCATCATCATATCAATCGTTAATTGTTTACTGCTGGATATAAGCCTCCCCCTTAGGGGATTTTGCCAGTAATTGCCACGCTTGGCAATCGAGTTGTCATTTGCACAACAATAAGATGTTTTAAGAAAAACGCTGATGGGCATATCCCGAACATTAAGTTTGCCTAGTTGCCTCTTACGACATTCATGGGAAAGAAAGGGGTGGCTCATTCAATGCCGGGACCACATGGTACGGCAACACATTTCTAATATTCACATATTTATATATATTCTTTATTGCACTTGAACAGTCGATACAGGGGTAAGTTTAACAACTTGTTAGCAAGGGAGGGCTTATCTCTAAAAGAGATCTCTTCCAGCCAACCCAGTGCAGTTAGAGAGAAAAAAGTTAATTGGCGGGTTATTTAGTGCAGGAAAGGTACAGATAAAAATAATGCAAATAAATTAATAAATAAATAAATATTCCATATCTTGTAATTTAATAGACATGAATGTAAGAGAAAACATCACGTTGATTTTAATCAGTGTGATCTAAAGGCACGATACCGCATATTGGGCATTACAGGGCCAATATGGAACAACCCATCTCAAGTGGAGTACATCCGCTGTAATCGAATAGTGCGATGTATTTTTTATGTTCCGATACGAGGGTATTAGTCCGGTCCCATGGCATTTGAGGGTGTTTTATTGGTGGTATGAAATTTTAAGGGCGGTTAGTTATAGATGTGCGTGTGGTTTACTTCGTAATACATGGCGTAGCTCAGGGACCTGGTGGGAGGTATGGCAGGTTGTCACAGTATAAGTGACAGTAGAGTTTAGTTATCAACCGACTTCAAAAAGAAGGGGTTCTAAATTAGGTTGTATTTTTTTATGTTTACTCCCTCATAACTTAATTAGTTCTAAATGGATTATTGGATATATATATATATATATATATATATATATATATATATATATATACGATATATTGGATATTTTTTTTATTTAAAAGGACATACAGATTGGTTTCATAGAAAATTTATCAAAATCTGTCCAAAAGTAGGTTTTGTCTTTATTGAAGTCGGTTTTTCTTGTGTAAATATATATATATTTAAAATTACTTTATTTTCTATTATATTAAAGTAAAATACATCGTTTAAAAAACGTCCGTAAAAACACCAACAATGGGAGAAATTCATTATAATATATTGTTCGGCGAAAAAATATATTGAAACCGAAATTGTCAATTTCGTGTATAATATAGTATATGTCATATATGTGTAAGTATATTTGTTATTTATATATACATATTTATTCGTTTATATATGTAATTTTAGTATGTATGTACATCAATAATTAGTAGTACCGCATTCGAGTATTCTGACACTTCCCTATGGTTGACTGGGAGAGAATGCTTTTAGCATTAAGTCCGCCATGTACACATATTTGTACTAATGAATAAATAAATAAATAAAAAACTAAAACCTCTATCTAGACAGTTTTTAGAATTTAAAATCTATATTAATATTTAGTTATGTTTGAATTTAACTCGTTTAGCAGAAAAAAATATTAATTTATCAATGTCACTGTTAAAATAATTTAGTATAGAACAATATAGGTATTCAGAGAAAGGACAATTTTAGTGGAGGACATTTAAATTTGGACCTAATATTCTGGTAGACATTTATTTTACTATTTACAGTTAAGTAATCCTTTTTATTCAATTATTTTTGTGTTATAATAAATGATAATAAAATTGGTGGCCTGTGTCTGTATTTACCCATCACTACATAGTATAAAACAAAGTTGCTGTCGCTGTCTGTCCGTCCCTATGTATGCTTAATTCTTTAAAACTACGCAACGGATTTTGAAGCGGTTTTTTTAATAGATAGAGTGATTCAAAAGGAAGGTTTATATGTTTAATACATGCATAATATAGTAGAGGAACACTGATAATTTCAGAGGTTTCTAATGTGATGTGATGTAATGTGCTCCCGTGTGAAGCCGGGGTGGGTTGCCAGTAAAAAATATTTAAGGAACAATAACACAAAGACTAGTGTGGAGTCATCTCTAAAAGAGTAATCTATTAATTATTATTTATTAATTCGAAATGTAAATTTATTGTTTCTAAACAATAAATTTACATTTCGAATTATAATTGTAATCAAAAAGAAAAAGATATGTAAAAGAAAAAGATCATAACTGGTTGTCATCTGCACATGGAAGATATTTAAAAAAAATATTATATTAAAATTGTATCGATAAATGACCAATTAAAAAAAAAAGCTATACAGAATGAAATAATTAAGATCCTTTTAAAAGAGTACTTTGTCAGTAAAACTAAAAAAAAAATTATTACAGAAATGTAGGTAGAAAAATTAAAAGTAATAATTAAATAAAATTAAAAAGTAAATACTTTATATTATTCTCAATTTCGTGTATAATATAATACATTTTATATATGTGTAAGTATATTTGTTATTTATATGTATATATTTATTAGTTTATATATGTAATTTTAGTATGTATGTATATCAATAATTACTAGTAGCGCATTCGAGTATTCTGACACTTCCCTATGCTTGACTGGGAGAGAATGCTTTTAGCATTAAGTCCGCCATGTACACATATATGTACTAATGAATAAATAAATAAATAAAGAAGTCACTAATTTGAAATCTGGACCGTGTTTGTATAGAAGCCTCAAAATATAATTTCTGATTCATGTTCGTTTTCAAAAAGTATTCTTATTGACTGCTAAATCATTCTCAAAAAAGAATGCTGACACTTTCCATCCACTCTGTCTATAGAGATATTTCGACAAGAGTGCTTACTGCAGAACATTATATACAGCTTTTGTATGACTGCAGCGGAGTGCATATGACAGCGACTATAAACATTGCTGCAATCGATGCCACACGATCGTAAATATAATAAGGAAGCAGATAATCTTATGAAGGTAAGAAGAGTGCTAAGAATTCAGCTTATACTAATCTTTACATTTGCTCTGTCAGTAATCACGTTTTGATATAATCACAAAAAGCCAGATGTAGAGAAAATCGTCGAAATTGCAAGAAAATAAAACAGAGTGAGTAATTACCACAGATTAACTTCGATATTTATATTATAAACAAATTGCTTTACAAAGCGAGTTCCCGCCAAGAAATATTTTTTAAAAGTACTGTAGGAGTACCTATTCGAAATTCAAATATTTATAAGTGGCCAACTGTTTGTTGTGAAATATTTAAATTTCGAAGACTTTCTAGGAATATTTAATAGATTATTGATAATGTTTAGGAAAAATAAACACCAATTCAGTAGCTAGCGAAATGGATTTTCGCAAAAAATTAAATAAATAAAAAAAGACATATAATTTAAAATAAAGTTATTAATAGTACAAAATGTTGATCACACTGAAATAACCTAAATTGTTTAATGTCTGCTTGACGAGGCAATAAAACTTTTGTATACGTATACTCAAATGCCATAGAGCATTGTTAATTTGGAATTTGTCTGTGGTCGCTAACATTCCAGTATAATGAACTGAACAAGTTTATAATTACAACAAATACCTAGTAAGTATCGAATTTGGAGCGTAATCTAATATATTCCTTTTAAATTTTAACTCTTCTACTTATCTATATAGTATCTACATTCTTTTTTCATGTATATTTCTTTTACACTGAAGAGTTCTCATTTATTCTGTCTAAATATGTATCTAGTCTGGCAAAATTATATATACTCGTATCTTACATTATATAGATAGTGTCTTCATACAAAAGCTTCATTAAAAACAATTTTTTGTATCTAAATATTTACGAAAAATAAAAAGGATATAAAATTCATACGAATATATTTGAAGGAACAAGATAAACAGTGAATAATGATTTCTAATGATGCTTATTTTTTTTTTGTAACCAATACGAGCATAGGTATACTTATAGAATATCAGAATAAATAGATTCGAATTCACATTAAAAAATTGGTTTGGGAAATTTGTAATCTATTTACTTGCAACACTGAAAAAATGGCGCGTTTTGTTCTAAAAGGTATTGTTACAATTTAAAAAAAAATCTGTGAAATTGAGTACGTCAAATGTCAGCTGTTAGCTAAATAAATGCTGACACTTTTTTAACACTTTATGCATATAATATAATATTGTGTATATAACCTAATACTCGTATATATATATTTATATGAATAAAAGGCTTAGATTAGTGGGTGCAGTAAGAGACAACTACGGGAATTTAATGATCTAGGAATGGAACGAGTCTGCTTTTTCATTTTCCCCAATCATACTTTACTGGTGCTCTGCCAGCGTATACCGATAGCGCGGACGGGGTTACCATTCTATCATCAGCCATTAAAAAAAATTCAAAGGGATTTCGCCAATAAATACTAGTAATTAATATTAAAAAAATTTAAAGGAATTTTAAAGTTTGACAAAAATGTTACTTAACGTTCGACACCAATATATTACGTTACTATTTACGATAATGACCCCACCCACTAAACACTAACTAAAAGATGAACTAGCTTGTGTTAATATTGCTCTGGCGAGCGTCAATGAATTATTTATACACATAAACCACACTGTAATGCAATCTTTATTACTGAAAATAGACCTTATGTGCGTATAAATAGGGGATCAAGTGGGAATATTCGAGAAAATTGAGTCTAATAGTTGTGGAGAAAATATTACGTCGTGGAGGCCTGGTGTAGGTATTTTAGCAAGGAAAGTACGTGGAAACGAGTAGACAAATGTATTTGTAGATTTCGTTTTATTTCGTCTCCTTACGGCTAATCATAAAAGCAATGGCGTCTACTTGTATTTTTTATTTCTTTTTAGTGGAGTTTCGTTATAGGTACTTCAGATGTTTCATACAAAATTTGCATCAATAGACAGTTATTATAAATAATATAGTTGACCAATTAATAAAGGAATGGACATAGAATGCCCAAATAAGACAAAAACCTTATTTTAGCACGTCTCGAAGTTTAAAGCTCAGACACCTCAAACTTGGGAGAGAAAGGATTGTTAGTAATAGGGAGGTAAGATCCTATTGCTATCAATATACCCTATGGGGGTAAAGGGATTGTTAGTAATGGGGTCAAATAGCCTCATTACTAGCAATATACCCTGCCAGGTTGACCTCCACGTGGTTCCCCCTGGAAACCATCGTGGCTAATTCTAGTTGAATTCGTCAGGATGGGCTAACTGACCTGATTTCGTCCTCATTAGTCATCTATCACTGGTGCCCCGCCATTTCCATACTATTATCACCCATTAAAAAAAAATATACCCTATGAGGTCAACCTCCACACGGTTTCCCTTAAACATTCTGACTAATTTATCGTTGAATTCACCACGATAGGCCAACTAACTAGCGTATACAGACAGCATAGGCGGGGTTACCATTGGATTAATATATAAAAAAAACCTCAAACTCGAAAGCTTAGATAGCAAATAATAGCTGGCTCTTGTTGCTAGGATTAAATTACTTCAAAGCCCTGATTCAGGGGGTTTCAGAAAATTACTCTAAGAAATTAATTCTTTTGAGTAAAAATAATATATATGTATATATTAACAATACATAAACGATATATCTCGTTTGGAAAATACAATTTATATTTTGATAAAGTAAAAACGATACAAAAAACATCTTAAAATTCCTATCACTGCTAGGAATTAGCAGCGAACTTAAAAAAAGGGCGAGCACAAAAGATCATGGAAAGGTCGCAGTGTCACAGGTCTTTATGACTGAAAAAGCTCGTCTTTCAATAATAATAATAGTATATCTAATATATGTGTATGCAAATTTGTTATTTATATACATTTATTAGCTGACTCGGCAAACGTTGTATTACCATATACATTATTTCTAGAACTATACATGAAAATGTATCGTACTACAATTATTATATTCAATTGCCATCTTGCAACCATATTGCGGCATATAAAAATCACGATTAAATAATAAGGGTTGATCATAAAAGGGTAAAAATTTGAAGTTGTGTGTATTTTTCAATGCCAAATCACAATAAAATAAAAATAAAAAAAAAAAAAAAAATAAAAAAAAATACATTTAGAGGTGGGTCACGCTTAACATTGAGGGGTATGAAAAATAGATGTTGGCCGATTCTCAGACCTACCCGATATGCACACAAAATTTCATAAAAATCGTTAAAGCCATTTCGGAGAAGTTTGGTAATGAACACCGCGACGTGAGAATTTTATATATTAGATTTGTTTATATATGTAAATGTTAGTATGTATGTACATATAACAATTATTACTAGTTTCGTATTACAGTATTCTGACGCTTTCTTAAGGTTGACTGGGAGAGAATGCTTCTAGCATTAAATCCGTCTTGTACATATACATATATGTACTAATGAATAAATAAACATGTATGCACGCGCGCTAATGTGTGTGTATGTATCGAATGTTCCTATTTCGAACAGTCATATTTAAATCATTGAGAGTAGCGGCTTTTAATAGATTATAACGGAATAGCTAAGAACAAGGAATTACATAGAATGAATGATAAAATAAAAACTGTAAATCATATGGTTGCCTCCTTTCTCCTTATTAAAATGTTATATGGCTGTATAACCCTACCAAATTCAGTTACAAACCGCTTGCATACTTTCTACATAAACTGTGTCGAATATATAATTTGGTAATGTAAAATTTGTTATTGACAAACAATATAATATGTCAAACATTTTCTATACACTAGCCTGCTATTAATTGGGAAAAATAGCAATGATGATGTATCTTTCGTCCTTTTTTTACTAATTATATTAGCATAAGAAGAAAGGAGGCAACCATATGTATTACAGTTTTTATTTTATCATTCCTTCTATGTAATTCTTTGTTCTTAGTGGAATAGTATCCCTGTATGCGTCTAAGTACATGCCAGCGGGGCACCAGTAAGCGGTGACGGATAAGAATGAAACTAGGTCAGATTGTCCAATGTGAAGAATTCCAACAAGATTTAAACACGATTGTTTTGTGTGGGAACCGCGTGGAGGTCGACCTGATATACGTTATATTCCTAAAAATTTGAGTTAACTTACCCATTAGTAAAAATTCCTTTTTCCCAAGGGTGTGTCTTGAAAAGGGGCGGAGAGGGGCCATATTTTACGAGTTATCTAATTCCTTTGAGTCCATAAAACACATTGGAGGTTGGCGCTCCATCTATCGGGGGTATCCTATACTGAGTTTGTCTTTACAATGTAGGCAACTAATAGACATCAATCATTTATCATCATCATTCATCATCATTATATGGACTAAGAGCAGAATTAGAAACAATAATCACTATATCAATCATTTATTTTGGTAAGATTGTTTTTATGCAACTTAAAAGGGCAAACAAGCTGACAGCCCACCTGATGGAAAGTGGTAACCGTCGCCTATAGACATGAGCAGTACCATGGACATAACTGAGTATACTGTTTCACCCATGATACTCCCCATGTGTTGTCATTTCTGAAGACTAAGGTATTATTGCTCTGCATCCTGTAAATCCAATGCCACAACCCACCCTTCAAACCGAAACACAGCCATGCTAACACAACTGCTTCATGGTAGAAACACGAATGGGACAGAGACACCCAAGCAAACGACTTTTGTATAAAGTTACATTTCCCTTTTTTGAAGTCGGTTAAAAGAATCCCTCCACTACAGTTCGATTTATGGAAGTTGTCATTTATCTAAAGCCCGGATTAAGGGTACATTTAAGTGAAAACAGCGCGGTTTTAATTCAGCGGACCGCGGTGCGGGCCGCGGCTCGGGGCCGTGCGCCATGAATAATGCATATTCCGCGAATAAAGTGTGACTTTTCAACTCTTCCCCATTCCCTCTCTGGCGACTTTTTCTGTTTCATACACAGATATTGTGCTCTAGATCTCGCCGGTCACTACTTTTAGGGTTCTGCAGTGAAATCGGACAAAATAAACCATATGATGCGAACTATAAAAAGAAATTCTGTGCTATCAAAAAGCGTGTATGAAATTTCTAAATAGACTGACTAATCCAAGTGGGATATTATATAAAAAGGCATCGTTTATATATTTTAGATACAGTTTTTATTCTATTTATATCCTGTAGTTTTCTAATTAATGCTAAAAAATGCGAATAAATATATTTTTTTTACTTTTCAAATCACCGAATTTTGGTAAACGAAAATCTAAGTTATAGTTTATAATCATTAGTCATTTATTCAAAAAACAATATACATTGTGTCTGAAATAAGAGATAATCATACAAAAAGCATTACATTAAATTGTATATATAAACAGAACGATGTTTCTAATTAGTAGAGCTGTTTAGAAATTATCAAAAAACTTTCAGAAATATACATATTTATGCAGTTTAATTTTTCACTGCAGTTATAACTCACAGTAAAGAAACCCCTATTGTAATAATAATAATTATTAAGCGTCTATTTAAAATAAGAAATACAACATACATAAGCTTAATTTATCAAATATTATAACTATAATAAATTATCCAAAGAAGAAATGTATTTGCAAATTATTATATGCACGGAACCCTTGGTGCTTAACTTCAACTCATCATTGACCGGTTTCTGTATTATCCTTTTTGCGAAATGAGATTTGCAGTGGAAATAAAGAGATCCAGAAGTTAATTATGTTTGTTATGCTTTTATTTTGGCTGGCAACACAAACGCGTCGACATACACGGAGATTGTGAAAGATATTAATTACTATTTGTAATAGTATGATGGCGGGACGACCACAGCCTGTAGCTAGCCGAGCTAAGCAACCTTTATGTTTGAACTTTAAAGGAAAAAAATAAAGTAAAATATTTATTACTTTATTTTTTTGCGCGGAAAGAGGACGAGGAATACGGCTCACCTAATGGCAACCGGTTATCTCAGTCCATAGACACTGGCAACACTAGAGGTTGTCAATGCATTGCCAACCTTATAAAAAGATTTAAGTTTTTTTTTATAGTATTTATTTATTTTGAATTAGGAACAATAACTTTTTTTTGTGTAGAATGCTAATATGCATACCTATAGCAGGTGTAGATAGTTAGATATATAATTTATTTGCATCACTCACAGCACACAACATTGACTATAGATTACATGATAGTACTTAAAAATACAGTAGAGAAATATAAAGAACAACAGCAATATTATATATTTTTTATATATTATGAGGGATTTAACAACGAAAAAGCACGAAATAAATCCACTTATGTTCTTTGCAGACATGATGCTGGTATTCAGTGACATCAATTTGTAAGAGAGAGGGCAGCACTTGTCTCGTAATATCGTTTAGACACTATTGTGGTTAAATTCAGTTGAATTCCTCAAAATAGTGTAGCTGACCTGACCAAATTAATAAACCAGCATGATTGACATTCTATTAAAAAAATATCACTATTAACAAAAATTGCATAAGATAAAAATATTACACTATTTAAAAAAAAAAAAAAAAAGAAATACAATGCATGTATTGTTATTTAACAGTAGAAATAGATAAGGCCCTTAGCTTATATAGATAGAGTATGGAGCCTCAAAAAACGGGTCAACTTTTTGTCAGCTAATTGTCCAATTAGCTGACTCGTTTCTTTCATTAGTGTTCTATGTACTTACACACACAATGTAACTTGACGTATTTATATTTATATAAATAAATAAATAAAATCATTTTTTGCACATTAAAAAGGCGTAGAATTTATAAGACAAAATAAATATAGAAGTTATAAAGGTTTGAGTCATAACTATTTATCAAGCAAAATTGTATTTTTTTTATGCAACTTAGAATGGCAAATAAGCTGACGGCCCACCTGATGAAAAGTGGTAACCTTCGCCTATTGATATGAGCAGTACCATGGACATAACAGAGTATACTGTTTCACCTATGATACCCCCCATGCGCTGCTATTCCTGAGGACTCAGGTGTTATTCATCTGTACCCTGTAAATTCACTTCGAAACAAAATATCCCACCCTTCAAATCGAAACAGTTTTTTTTGTGCATGACAAATTTGACACGTTTTTCTCGAAGCATTTCTATAGTGACACTATCTATATAATCATTTGTAAGGTAAGGTGTTTAATATAACACAATGGAGCTTCTATTGAATCCTAATTTTTAGTTAAATAAGATGATTTAATCAAGTTTTACAATAATTTTAATCCATAAGCAATAGCAACGTTATGACTAATAAATCGTCTCTCTGAAGTGTGACAAAAATATACTGTAGGTAGTAATGAAAACAATATTGACAGGTAGATAGGCTCAAACATAAGGTCATATCCAAAGATCTTTTTTAAATACAATGGAACGTCCAATCGAGAACTATCGATTTTGTTATTAATAAAAATATAGTACATCTTAGCAACAAGTCGTCATTTAGAATCGGGTTAATACAACAATCGGTGGAAGCTGGTGTCGAGTCGGTGTGAACGTTGAATTATTCATCGCAACCGAACGAATGACCGGACTCCCGCCGGATCCGGCCGTCCCCCTGGACCCGGCCCGGACCCGGCGATATCTTGCGACTTTAACCCTTTAACTATGCATGTTTTAATCTGAGCTCTCAAGTTTTACAATTTCACGTATATTTTAGGCCTTCTTATAATTTGAGCGTAGGGAAACGTAATTAAGTGAGCTTCTGTCTGTCACAGGTATATTTGTTACAAGCAATGATTATAAATACTTGATTAAGTTGCGTTGTGAAAATTGGGAGGCAACTACTAACTAATGCTTGTTTAATTTAGGTGCGCATTTTGCTACAAAATTTGACAAATGGCCGTGCGGTCCCGGCATAGAATAAGCCACCCCTTCATTTACCATGATTGTTGTAAGAGGCGGCTAAGACATGGCGAGGGATGGGCAGGAGCGTCTCACTTATCTCAAGGCTCCACATCTCCAAAGGCTAACTGCGGTTGCCAATCTGTCTGCCAAGCGTGTCAATTTTCTTTTACAACACAGGGGCAAATGAGCATGCGGCTCACTTGATGGTAAGTGACTACCGCCACCCATGATCACCCATAATACCAAAGACATTGCAGGTGTGTTGCCGGCCTTTTAAAAAGGAATATGCCCTTTTTTTGAAGGTTATAACTATTATACTATAGACTATTATAGAGAATAGAAGAAATATTATAGAGAATAAAAGAGACAAAATGCTGGGCTACCTTATACGACATGACGATTTTTTTAAGAGCATAGTAGAAGGAAAAATGGAGGGCAAAAGAGAAAGAGGAAGACCAAGGAATAACTACATGGGACAGATAAAGGAAACACTGGGTGTTATGTTATATAGGAAGATCAAGGATATGGCCTGGGATAGAGCTGGCTGGAAGAAGATGCATGAATTAGTTGCACCGACAAGAGGAAACTCTTAAATGAAAAGAAGAACTATGTTATACTATACTATACTACAAAATCACTTAAGAGAGAGGCCAATGATCAGCAGTGGACGCTTAAAGGCTGATATGATGATGAAATGGGTGTGAAATCACTTATGTATCTATCTGATAGAATGATAGCATACATTGATGATTTCAGTCGAGATAAAATTAATATAAGATCGATACGTGAGTAATTACTGACGTGTTCATTCTCAGAACCGACTTTAAAGGGGGGGGGGGGGAAGGGATTATTAGTAATGCGACCTATTAGTCCCATTGCCAGCAATATGCCCCATAAGGTCGACTTCCACGTGGTTCCCTCTAGAAAACATTGCGCTGAATTCCTGGTGTATTCATCACGATAGGCTATCTGACCTGGCTTGTCATTCTCACCTATCACCCTTCGCTGATGCCCCGTCAGCGTATACCGTTAGCGCAGACGGAATTTTTGTTTTTTTTTTTTTTATGCAACTTAGTATGGCAAATAAGCTGACAGCCCAACTGTTAGAAAGTGGTAACTATCGCCTATAGACATTAGCAGTACCATAGACATATCAGAGTATACTGTTTCACCCATGATACCTCCCATGCGTTGCCATTCCTGAGGACTCAGGTGTTATTCATCTGTACCCTGTAAATTCACTGCTACATCCCATCCTTCAAACCGAAACACAGCCATGCAAACACAACTGCTTCACGGTAGAAACACGAATGTGACAGAGGTGACCAAGCAAAAAACTTTTGTGCAAAGTTTCCCTCTCATTTCTCATCAGTGATATTTAGCTAACAGTTTATGATTTCACCATACTTACAATATAATTAACAATATCACTAATATTGTTATATCTTGATAACGTACAAGACAAACAGCACAATACTTGTACAAACATTTGGTAATAATAGTGCTTCCACGCGGGACGTTTGTGTTTACCTTGGACTTTTATTAGTCCTGCTCGAAGCAATGTGATTGGGGAATCAAGTTTTGTTGTAGTGCCGATAATACTGATGGCAGTATTGATCAATGTGACTATTTATAGCTAGTAATAGGTTAGCCATATGGTTGGTTACCACGTGGTTCCGGCATAGAATGGGCCACCCCTTCCTTTCCCGTGGGTGTTGTAAGAGGTGACTATGGCAATTTAATAGTCGAAAAATGGGTAACAACTAGTGTCCGACCGAAACAGGTTTCGGCCTTGGTCTCTATTTCGGCCGAAACCGAAACTTACTGAAACATATTTAAAATTTCTCTTCTATACTGAAATCTAGTGTATTTTTACACAATTATTTACACAAACACACATATAGTTAAAGGGTAATAATAAACACTAACTAAAGTATGTAACAAATATGTTATTATATATATGTAAAAACATGACTTACTCTTGGAAATAAACTTAATAAAAAACAACTTAGACACATGCACAACACGGAATTTCGGCGCGGCCGAAAGTTTCGGCTAATTTTTGGCTGAAACCGAAACTAAGGCCGAAAGTAGAATTTCTGGCCGAAATTAGCCGAAACCAAAAGTCGGTCGGACACTAGTAACAATGTACCTTTTAAAACATCATCAGAGCCTAGCCGCAGTTGTCAATTTGCCTGCCAAGCGTGGCAACTACTGGCAACCTCCCAATTAACAGTAGGCCTATGTTCAGCCGTGGCCTATTAATGACAGATATTGTAATAATAATAATAAATTTGTTATTCCCCAGTTGTAACACCGAGCCAATAATCCGAGTTAGTGTTGCGACGGCTTCAGACTTCGGGCGAGCTATCTCAGTGACGTCAGTTGGTCAACCGAATCTCATCCCGCGTTGGGATTACGCTGAATTTACTATCATTCCACGGCAGTTAGTAAATGACGCGAATAAAGCTCTCTGTGGCGCTATAAAATAAAGTATGTTTCAAAATATATAAGGGAATTAATGAATTTAAAATTTAATATTGTTAATTATTATTAAAAAAAATTAATTTTCAAGGGGCGTGTAACGGAACGAAACGTATCGTGTGAAAGGGACAAACGATAGACGTTTAGTAACGAGTGAAAGAGTTCGAAAGACCACGGTCTATCACTTACAAATAGGTTTATATCGGGGGAAAGGGATTGTTAGCAATGGAGTTTGAAAGCCCCATTGCTAGCAATATGCCTTATTAGGTCGACCTTCACGTGGTTCCCCCTGGAAACCATCGTGAATAATTCTCGTTGAATTCGTCACGATGGACTAACTGACCTACTTCATCCTCACCTAACATCCTTCACTGGTGCCCCGCCGGTGTATACCGATAGCGCGGGTGGGGTTACCATTCCATTAACATCCATTAAAAAAAAAATAGGTTTATATCTAATCTGTATATACAGCATATATTATCTAAGAATATCGAGAATTGGATAATGAATATCTGGAGATAAAATAATTATCTGTATTTGATATAAATAAATTAAAAAAAGAACAGCTGATTTTTTGTTTCATTTTCAGTTAAAAATAATAATTGCTTAACAATAAGACCTCCTTTTGTATCACTTCTCATTAATACATATTTACCGTATTTAATATTTTTTTTTCTTTGTTGCAATAAAGTATAAAATAAAGTAAATAAATAAAATAAATAATAACTAAGATTGTATTTCACACAAAAAAAAATAGACTTCAATTATTTGACACATTTACTAGTTATTTTCATTTAAAAACAACTACTGTACCGGTTTTGATAAAATCTCTATGGGACCAATCTGTAAGATAAAAAGTTTTTTTTTTATACAACTTAGAATGGCAAACAAGCTGACGGCCCACCTGATGGAAAGTGGTAACCGTCGCCTATAGACATGAGCAGTACCATGGACATAACAGAGTATACTGTTTCGCCCATTATACCCCCCATGCGTTGCCATTCCTGAGGACTCAGGTGTTATTCCTCTGAACCCAGTAAATTCACGCCATATCCCACCCTTTAAACCGAAACACAGCCATGCAAACACAACTGCTTCACGGTAGAAACACGAATGGGACAGAGGTACCCAAGCAATCGACTTTTGGACAAAGTCTCCCTCTGGTAATTTTTCAAATTGTTTTACAACTGACGGAGTGATGAGGTAACAAATATAAAAACAAGCGAATTGACAACATCCTTTTTAGAAGTCGGTCGAATAGGGAGATTCCTAGTTCTGAACTCTAACTTTACTTATTGCCGTTATTTTTTTAGAAGAAGGTAAGACAGAAGGAAGGAGGGGGAGCGGGAGTAAGGCATAGTCACATCAGACAGATCAAGGAAGGAGTTGGTGTCGTGTCGTATCAAGAGGTGAAGGGACTCGCTGAAAATCGTAGTGAGTGGCAAGAGCCCACCGACAAGAGCGCAGCTTTTAAATAGTATAGATAGATTTTTTAGAGCAAAATAAATGTGTTAAGAATGCTAAGGAGATCATATTTCTTAGTTAGAATATATGTTTATTAAGAACTAAATAATTTAAGCCATAAACTGAGTAATTTCACAGACCTCGTATAGGAGTTAGTTCAGATATTGCTTAACTTGAGCCATTCTTCCACTAAACATTATTGTTTTGTATTATTTCGTATGGCAACTAAATATCAAGTTAAGTGATTAAATTACAAAACGTAAAACAAAATCTTATAATACAAAGCGACTATTATATAATATATATATATATATATATATATATATATATATATATATATATATATATATATATATATATATATATATATATATATATATATATATATATATATATATATATATATATATATATATATATTTATCTTATATTGTTTATTCGTCTAGTATCCATAGTACAAGTTCGGTAACCACTTACCATCAGGTGGGCCGTATGCTTATTTGCCACCTCAGTGTTATAAAAAAGTTCTGCTTAGTTTGGAACTAGATGGCGCTTTGTATACGTCAGTGTCATTTAAATAGTAATTTAAGTTGCATGTCGATAGGTATGTCAATTATTCAATAATTCAGGTTCTTCTAATACCACTGTCAACTAATCATCTTTTGGCGGTATCATCATCGTCATATCAGCATGTAACTGTCCGCTGCTGAACTTAAGCCTGCCCCTTGGGGGGTTTTGCCAGTAGTTGTCACGTTTCGCAGGCGGATTGGCAACCGCAGTTAGGCTTTGAAGACGTTTTAAAGAAGACACTGTTATTCATCCTTCGTCCACGCTCTCTCTTAGTCGCCTCTTACGACACCAACGGGAAAGGAAGTAGTGGCCTATTCTATGTTGGGGTCACACGGCAGCTTTGTATGTATTTAGTCAATACTCCAGGTTTATTCTTCTAATACCATTGCCAATTATTCATATTTTGACCGATTAAGTATTGAAAAATTCCAAGACAGTAGAATCTATAAAATCAAGAGGTTTGTTATCAAAACCACATAACAAATTAGTACTACAAATGTCTTCATTTTGTTACATTATGATGCAAATCGTACCATTAGCGTCTTGAATAATAGAAATGTCAGACAGTTTTTGGACAGAATCTATTTTTGGAGCGATCGAACATGCCTTTACCGATTGCTTGGACTATAGATTAGAAGATTCACGTTGCGGGCACATTTACAAATATATTTATAGAATACTAGTCATCCGATCAGGTTTCGAATGGATAGATAGAATTTTTGAAAATAATAAAAAGCTTTTCCGTGATTGTCGTAAGACGCGATTAAGCAAGAACGGAAAATGGGCAGCAGTTCCTCTTAAAACACATCTAAAGCCTAACTGTGATTGCTAACCCGCTTGCCAAGCGCGGCAACTACTGGAAAGCCCCCAAGAGGGAGGCTTGTGTTGTGTGAAAACGTTCTCCACATGGTGATAGAAACAACGTGTAATAAAAACATTGCAAAGTCAATCCTCCCAATATTGTACTGAAATAACACGAGTCACGTTTTTGCTAATTCATCTACTAAGTTTCTAAGCTCGTTTCCACTATATGATGTACTCATAAACGTGTAAATACGGCGAGCTGAATTCGCGCGTGATATTACATATGTTACCATCAAGCAAATTGCTTCTGTTTTTATCATCCCGCCGCCCGCCGCCCAATTATTTGGTGGGCTTTGGGTGTCGCTACGAGTACAAGGGAATAAGTTAAATTAAGGCTTACGGATGTTGAAATGTCGGTGGAGACAAGTGCTACACTTGTATTACAATGGAAGATGTTTGTTTCAAATGCGGCGATAAATTTAACATGACAGTAATGGAAATATCATTTTTATCATTGAATTTATAGGGTACAGAGATACACTTTAGTCCTCAGGAATGGCAACGCATGGGGAGGTATCATGGGCGAAACAGTATACTCTGTTATGTCCATGGTACTGCTCATGTCTATAGGCTAATTACCACTTTTTATTAGGTGGGCCGTCAGCTTGTTTGCCATTATAAGTTGCATGAAAAAAAGAGACTTTTGTCCTACTAATTATTATAAAAAATATCTAATATCTTGGTCTAGAATCAAAGATTTTAGTCTAGAATATTGATAATTTTGTTAATAATCTGTAATTATAACATCTCGTCGTCATTTACGGTTGATTGAATAACAAAATTCCAAACATCCGAACCTCTTTTCAAAGTTTCTCATTCAACAAACTGTGAAAATGTTTATAAAAACAGAATGAATAATTTTATAATAATATCAAGACTACCTTTGAAGTACTTCTAAGCTACTTATAAGAGAAGGCTCTCAAAATATATTTTCATCAAATTTTGAACCGATTTAAATATTTTGAATCTTACGTCTATGAAATATCGTCGCTTAAAGACTTCACAATAATTCTTTTTATGTCCAATTAATATTATCTCGTCGATCTTTGGTATAATTTTCAACATGCTATTTGTATTGTAGTTGCTATTCTTTTGTGTAGCAAAATTAATAGATAAATTATTTACAGTACACATAAAGCAACAAATACAGGGAAAATCCCTTAGATTATCATCAGTTTCCATCAGGTGGGCCGACAGCTTGTTTGCCATTATAAGTTTTATAAAAAAAAATCCTTACAATACGAGTATGTACTATATTGATACTTTCCCCTTATATACTTAGTAATAAATATACATTGTGGTAACCCTGTTCACGCAGCATGAATAAAAACGTTGACCTATTTTTAGCGAAGCATTTGTATGGAGACATCTATATAATCTTTATATAAGATAATCTGAACAAAATACATAAAAAGGTCACACAGATTTTATTCGTGTATGTGCCACGGTAACAGTTATTTATGGACAAATATAGTTACAATAATCAACGTTACATTCCCGAACTGACTCGTTTAACGCTCCTTCTAAGTTTTCTCTAAGTAGGATTTCCCCCTTGGTGGCCCTTTAAACGTCTCCAATCGGTCACTCTGCGTCCAATAAATCCAGTAATCCGTCGATTCAGAAGCCAAATTCCTGTAAGTGGGTTTTCATTATGTCTCTTGTAACCTTTTGAATTCAGTCACTTAAGAGAGTTCATAATGTAGCTTTATCTATTGAAGAGTAGCAATGTTGGAATTATTGGACAGTTTTAAAAATTATTTAAGTGTTCCGATAACAAAATAAATTGTTAATTGTGTAATGTTGAAAATTTAAAAATATTAGAAGCAGAATATGGTGTAGACGCCATAAGTGCATTTAAGAGTGGGTCTGATGGATTGTGCCTATCTTAAAGTTGTCCGCTGCTCACCTCTGGATCAAAGGAGAGTTTTGGGAAGCTCTGCTTTGATCCAGATACCAGGAAAATGGGACTTTGTGAAGAAGACAGGAAAAGTCAGAGGCAGGTGCAAAACTTGTGTGGCAAAATTATGTGCGACTTATTCCAAGACTGACTGATTTTAGTTCGTTATCAGAGATTACCTATTGATTACTTTTTGAATAATCAATAGGTCATGTTGACAATGATTTCATTGTTTTTAAAAATTGATAGATGATTCACGTTTGCCGTACCACGGTTGACTTTGGTATGAACGATCTTACAGCCGGGGTGGGTAGCGACTAGCGACTGCCGCCTCGATACTGGATGATTTAGATGCAACCGACTTTTCTTTTACTTTTTTATCTTTCCGGGACATTTGGCGGGGCGCCGGGCCGGCCGCCTGTCGAAACTAATGGCAGTATCTCTTATAGAATTAAAATATTACTTTCATTTTGTAATATACTGTTTAAGAGATGTCCGTTTATAAATGGAATGTCATCTTGACCATAATAAGTGATAAGAGCATCATTGTGCTCCTTTCCACTTGGGTTTTTTTTATACGACTTAGAATGGCAAACTACCTGATGGAAAGTGGTAATATTGCCGTTGCCTATAGACATGAGCAGTACCATGGACATAACAGAGTATACTGTTCCGCCACTTGGGGTTTGCTGGAAGAAAACTCTATTAGAGTTAAGC